AAATATATATAATGTTTAACTTAACTAAATACCAATTACATACATATGACTAGATATAATTATTTTAGATTTCATAACACAAAAAACTATGTAAAGTGATCAATAAAGTTAGTTGTTCCTTAGTAATGAATAGATTATTATATATAAATGTAATACTCGTAATACTTAAACGTTTAATAAGCGGTAGCATTCGAAAGAATATCATCATATAATCTTATGAAATTTTATTATAATCACTTATTAATTTTGTTTTATATTATGTGAGAGTTTTATTAACAAAAATAATGTGACGCACAGCATAACGCCATAAATAGAATATAAGATTAGGTGGCCGTACAGGTGCGTAACGCTATCAAGAATATGGACAGGGGGTGATTGAAGAGTTCGGTTGTGTAACATCTAAAAGCGCATTCTCTAGGTCTTATCGTTGTTTTGTTTGCCCGTATGGTGTCTACATAACAGAAACGAGTGACAGTGAGATATCAGACGATAAGTACTGTTAAAATGTAAATAAAAGAAAAATCTCGAACATTTAATAATGCCTTAATATTATCACTGAGCTAAACTATTTTAGATTAGAGAAATAGAGAAAAACACTAAAATAGAGAGAATTGACTTTAAACTAAAAAACACGTTATTTTGTTATCGCGATAAAGCCATGTAACATAATGGCGAGAAAACGTCGTTAATTTCAGCTACACAAATTTCGACCCCTTCTGAGAAACGCGGTCTTATATTACTTCTTTCGATAATAACTGTTGAGTTGGAGATAGTTAGCCATCGTTATATGATAATTTAACAAATTACACTTAAGACCAAAAAATATTTATAGATTATATGTACAGGAGAATATTGGTATTCTGTTGGCCGATATATTTTTAATAAAAATTGCCCATAATAGATTAAATTAGACATGTATATAATTTGCTTGACGTAAATATCGCGTTCCTCGGTCGCACATATTATATCAACTTAAAATAAAATGTATCTATACGCGGAAACAACTCCGTGGTCTAGTTTAATACTGTATAATTTGCGTCCAGAAAAATGCATTAAAGCCCAATTGGATTAAAAAAAGAAAAACTATGATAATAATTATTCATAGTATAAACATATATGATAACTATTATTTCATTTAATTTATTTGTTAATTTAACAAACTGCATTGTATGAAATGTATACAATGCAGTTCGTTAAATATAAACTTATGATATATATATGAATATTCATTATGTACTTCAATTATCTCATAATAAATATGACGTCAACACTTAAATAAATAATGAACATTTAGATAAATATGATAAAATTTAGATATTTTAGATAACATAATGTGTGATACAACTAGTCAAGACACGACGTTGGGTTGGGTTGGGTTTGGTGATACCTGTAAAAGGATTTTTGTATTAACTGTGTTTATTTCGTGTTATTAAAAATAATAATTTATTTATTACTTAAGTTTAAAATACGAATGTTGCCTAGTTGATTATATATTTTACTTTTTCCTTACTAACTGAGTAACACACATTAATTAAAAAAATACACTATAATAATTAACTATCTGTGTTGAATATATAGTATTTATTTCGCTTAATAAGAATTTGTTTAAAAAATACACCGTTTAATGAATAACATATTAACATGTATGACATAACATATTAATTTATTATATTCATTTGTATATTAGTATACAATTTTTAAAGGCATCAAAATTGTTAATAATTGTTATAAGGCTGTATTTAGATTAATTATGCAAAATGTGCACAAAATTATATAGAACATGCATATTGCTATTTCATAATGAATAATGAATAATGATATTATGTTTATACAAGAGTACTTTAAGTAAAAAAATTGTTTTGGTACAATAATTAAGTATTGAAGTAAACACAACTTAATACATTTTTCACATATTTAAATGTGAACATTCATTTTATTTTTTTAATTAGTATTATTTTAAATTAGTATTATCATTTACGGTTACAGTTTGACTGTTTGTATTTCGGTGTCGATAAATAAATACTATCGAAAAACATTTGTTTATGTCGATAGCTTTTGAAAATAACTGAATGAATCGATAGTTTTAGACTTTTGAATAGTTCGATAGTGTTTCCGACAAAATAGGCTTAAATAATTTATTCAATATTTTTTAAGAATTCTCGATTTGTAATGTTTTATTTTAATCCAGAAAAATTAGTATAATTATCATACAAGTTCAGAATCTTCGAAATTTGTATTTCTAATACTACAGAGAAAATATATTCGAATTGATTTTTAAAAAGGTTTCTTTTTCATTTAATAACCATATAAATTATTTTACTTTTTTATTTTATTACTAGTAGACTATATTATTTTGTTTTTACATTTAAATTTTTTATCTGTTTTTTTGATAGACAATGTATTTTAAATAATTTTATACAAAATATAGTATTTTCACTGATTAACTTAATTTGTCTAATCAAAACAAACTATTCTCGTGAAGAAGTGAATTGATTGTAAAAATGTAAAATTTTTCATTGTTTTCGTGACGAATTTAGAATCTAATTGCATGAATCTTATCAGTTTTGTTGGAAAACTTGTTTTAGACAAAGTGTAGTCCCATCAGGTTATACATATACACTATGAGTTAATAAAATCTATGATAATCATATGCATGGTATTATTTGTTTTATATTTTGGTCTGGGAGTTTTCATTAAATATAAGGTGAATATTTAAAGCTATTTTAGTGGAAAACGTTGACGCTCGTTCTATAATAGGGTCAATCCATTGTTTGCAAAAAAGAATAATTATTTTAGTGACGGTGCTTCGAGTTAATACAAAAATAAAAAAAAAGGTTTATTAATTTGTGTTATCATATTGACATATTCGAGTCAAGCTACATTTTGTTACTTTTCTTTTTGCTGTTCCACCAACTCCATCGCTGGCGATTTTGTCATGACACGAAGCAAAAAATATTCTGCATTAAAACCAAAGTCGTCAATATGATAAGACAGATTAATAAACCTTTTTTTTATTTATTTTACCATCACTAAAATAGTTATTTTTTTTCCAAACGGAACTGTTAATTTGATGTCTTGTATAAGGTGATTTTTAAGTACAAAAACAGAAACGTTATTGTTCCATGTGATGACTAATTATGTTTCAATTTTGCGATGAAAAAATTAAAGGGATAAAATACATAAATATACCCATCTCAGAAGTACAAAAAAACGAAAAACACCTAATATAAGATTTAAATTGTGTAAAATTATTCTCAGGAATAGGGAATAACACAGGTTTTACCAATTAATAATAGTACCATAAGAAGCATTAAAGTATCATTATCATTATGTGATATTTATGAAAATAGAATATTTTAACTACTAGGATAAAACCATGATTTTTTTAAAAATATTTTACAATATTATCATAATAATTTAATTAATTCATTTTTTATTTTGCAACTAAAATAATTATAACTTATATAATAATTATATTGAATCGTAATGTATTACATATACAATAATATATAAAACAATTACAAAAATGTGGTTTGAAAACAACAAAAAACTATCATTAAATTATTTGATCTTGAGCTGATTTTTACTGATTTTCTAATGCTAAATTTTACATGTTACACTTCTTTCTCAAACTTTAAATTTTTATGGTGTTTTAAGCAGATATATAACTAATAAATTAAAAAAAATATTTTTCGAAATAAGGTCCCCCAACAGAAATAATACACTTAGAATACGTGTATTTTTATAAAATTTCTAACTTTCTAGGCCTCTAAATCCCAAGAAAATTGTTTTAAATCTTTAAAATTTAGTTGAAACATAGATTATAAACTATACATTACCACATTTGAAAATCACTATAAAATAATAACTTAATGGTTTTATATGAGTTCAAAAACATAAATTTTCACAAAAAAGCGTCATTTTTAATAAGTCATTAAAGTTTAGAATTTTACATACAATTTTTTTTTAATGTAAACTTTAAGTTATAATAAGGTTAAGTCTAAAATTTAAATTCGATTAAGTCAATATTGAATAATCTGTTTGTTTTTTTAACGTTCTGGCTATTTTTAACNAATTCGATTAAGTCAATATTGAATAATCTGTTTGTTTTTTTAACGTTCTGGCTATTTTTAACATTTTTTACATTGAAATAGCTATAAAAATGAAATGTCATAAAAAAAAAATTGTTTTAATCTAATTATAGCATAAACCCTGAAAATTAAAAAAAAAAATGAGGTGGTCGTGCAACCATTTTTGGATGATTTGGCATAGATTGACCCACTAATAAATGTAATTTATAAAAAAATTTAATTTTTTAATTTACCGGATAAATTAAAGAATGTTAACTTAGAATAATATTGTCATTATTATTAATCAGATTTGATTTAAAGAAAAATTTGTTTGTGATATTCCCTTAGGAAAAATCCTGTATGGCTTTGTTTTATATATTTATATAAAAATAATTATATAAAATTATAAAACCTATGTTATAATATTTAAGCAAACTCAGTTTAGAAAAAGAGAACTGATTATTTTTATAATACATTTCGGACATTTATATTGATCAATTCGAAAGCGAGGACCATCGACAATATAATTTGTAAAATTATAATTTTATCGTTAGTTTACGACTTTTTGTTTATTATTTGATAAAACTCAATTATTATTTTTAAGGTGATTGATATGTTGAATTGTACTGCGCTTATGAATTAGTAAATCAAGGACTGATAGAAGAGTTATAAACGTTTTATTAAACGGGCTTTACTATACTTCAGGTATAACGTTTATAAGTAGTCGCGTAACCAGAATTTTATTTCGAGGGTCGTCTATGATATTTAGAATATTGTTAATAATAACAATATTTAACAAAACAACTTATACTAATACTTATTGAATATATACTTCTTTTTGAACTTCTAGCATATCGGTATTGATAGCACGTATTAGTATTGATAATATAAGATAATTACTTTATCACTTGGTGATATAAACGAAGAACAGTCGTCGCCGTTTATCTTTGAATTGTTTTATGAACCTTGTATTAGTTTAAGAGTAATCCTTGTCGGTAGTATGTTTTATTCTTCGTTTTTCTAATTAAAATGTTAAAATAGTGGAGTATATTTCCAAAAAAAAAAAAAATTATATACATATATTTTTGCTTATAACAAAGTTTAATTTCAAAAAAGTATTTTAGAGAAACTCAAGTAATAAATTTTTTTTTTCTATGTTAAAACTACAACTTTATTAGTACTTCAATTTTTTACATAGCTTTAACCGTATGTTATTACTATTTAAATATGCTATATTATTTTAAGATTATTAAGATGCTTAAGTTAATGTAATTTTTCCATTTTTGTGAAAAGATTAAAATATATATTATTAAGTATAGGTGGGTTAATGCCACTTATGAATTTGAAATCTATTTGTTATTGTTTTTAGATTTTATTTAAGTTTATTACTGTTAAAGTGTTAATTATTTGATGTATAAATAATTAAATGTACAAATTTCTTTCAATTCTTTGAGCCAATTTATTTGCACACTAAAACTGACATTGTTAGTAAAATTAAAATTAATTTTTTAGATGATCTCTAATTATGCAACAAGATAGAACTATTAAATTTACTTTTACTGAGTCAATTACAATATTTCAAAATAATTTTGTTTGACATATTAAAAAATGTAAATAGAAATTTAATTATTTGCATATACATACATAGATTAAATTGTGTAATTTATTTATGTAAAGTAATTTAAATTGTAGATCTAACATATTAAAAATATTGTAAAATTATTATACAATATACAGAGTGATTGTATTATCATAAACCAGTAAATTATTTATAAAATCAATAAAATATTGAAAAAAAAAGGTTGATATTTTTTTGTTATATAATTTCTTGATTTATCAATTACTATATATAATAATCCCTAGTAACTTATAAGGGTGTTAACTTTTTACATTTTTTAAATGGTATCATGTATATTTAACTAGCTTATAAAATAAAAATAGATAAAATATGATTTAATCAATATAATAACTTTTGGAATTGCACTTAGGAAGTAATTCTAATTTTTCTACCTAGGTAGGAGGAAGAGACAAGTGATAAAAATAACAACACTCCCGTATCATCACCAGCATCCATTATAAAATATTAATAACTTTAAAAATATTGGTTCAAAAGTTGTTAATGAATGATTCTAAAAAGTAATTAATAGCTGATAAACCAAGATAAATATATCTAAACAATTTTTAAATATTGCGTTTATTTTATGAATAACCGAGTAGTTTATGATAAACCAATCACTCTGTAGTATTGGACAATATACTTTAGCTTTGGTAAGATAATTAATAATAAATAAGTAGTGAATGTACTTAAAAAAATTATCTACATATTCAATGGTATATATTATGATGTTTGCTGTTAATGAATGAATATAATTTAATGTAATTATTTTATTTGAATTTAGTTTAGATAAAAAAATTAAGAACCTCTTGATATTTTTCTTTATGTAAAAAAACAAGTCTTAGAGTTTGAATATCTATTGTTCTGTTATAATTTATTTCAACATTTTAATAATATATAAATTAATAAATATAATCAATACTTTTTTGTCAATAAAAATAGCACACAAGTTTATTTTTCAAAACTTGTAATTAGGTAGATTAATTATAAAAAAATGATTAATTCAATGTTTTGTCATTATTTTATGTAATTCAAATTAATGTGAAAATTTGAATTGCTTAATCGTCTTATTGTTATTATCTTGATGATTTTTATATTTTAATTTGTGTTAATAATTTTATTGCTATATAAAATTAACCTATTCATTTTTATGTTTCTTTTAAAATAAGTGTTCTGAAACCAACTCTTTAGTTTAAAATTGTTGAACTCTAAGCTACTTGGCTTATACTAAATACTGGCCTACTTACCTGAAACAGTATCGCTTTTTACATTGTTGTGTTGGTACTGGGGTTTGATTCCGTTGCGCTGGAATATATTGGTTTATTGCCCTCTTTAACACAAGCATATCTTTGTAAAGTAGACGTGAAAGATAAATTAATGATTAAAAATAATAAGAGGTATATCCTATTTTACAATGAAAAAGAAGAGTTTACAAAAAATGTATTTTTATTATATAATAAATAAATTACTTATAAAAACAATATTAGTATTATAAAAATATTTATTTATGATAAATAGAATTTGATTAATTATAAAAACATTTTACTATTATTAAATTAGTTTCATGGTCATTTTAATAATTTATTTAATTGATGTTTAATACTGAATGTTAGTCATAACTGACTGCAATATATTAGAAGCGTAATTACAAGTTGTTTCTATCTAAAAAAAAATTGAGTTATTTGAAGGCATACCTTATTTTGCTAACAAAACTCAGGTTTTCTCATTTGTGAATTTTCATCCTTTTAAATGCTATATAAATAATTGAAAAATATTACTGTAAAATATATTTTTAAAAAGTTATAAAATAAAATTGTTATTGCTGTTTTTGTAATAATACATAAATTATTAGTTTTCAGAATTGAATTCATTCATTATGCAACAGTGGTGGGATCCCAACTCTTTAGATGAAGATAACTTTCAAAGTTCAATACCTGAAAAAAATAAAGAAATGTCAAAATCTAATCATAGACATGAGAAGTTTAAAGAAAAAACATTTACTGTGGAAGCAGATACTATTGATGGACAAATACTGTGCGTCTCAGGAAATTGTGAGGCATTAGGAAATTGGAATGCAGATAAGGCATTTGTGCTTACTAATACTCATATGACTAAAGTTAAAAACAAGTATGTTGTATTCTAGGTAATGTTATTTTTGTTGTTATGATGATTTCTTTAAACATAATATCTTTTAGCTTTAATTCTTGCCTTAAAAAGTATTGGTTTTACTCTGCTGTGTATTTCTTTTTTTTTTGTATTATACACAATCTTTTTTATCTTACTGAACTGATTTTGTTCAACGATATGTTAAAATATCACAAAATGTATACAATTAAGCTACTGGCATCATAATTTTGACAAATTCTCCTCAATTTTTGCAATAAAGGGAAAGTTCCAAAAAATTAGAATATAAAACAGTCAATGCTGATAACAATTTTTTTTTATAAATCTAATCATTAAACTAATTATTTATGGAACTTGAAAATCATATCAACATTTTCATCTTTTAAATTTTTGATAATGTTCCAAAAAATACCCTCTTTAAGATAAAATTAAAGCTAATATAATTTACTCTAAAATAAAAAAAGAAACTATTCAAAGTTTTGATTTTTAAAAGGTAAATAGTCATTAAAGCCAAATATCATAACATTTTTAGTAAAAATGGCCAATTTTGAAGTGTTTTGCATAGCAATGGAATATCTACATACATAGTTAGAAACTAAATCAAATTAGAGCTTATTTAATGTATTTTATGGTTAAAAATAAAAAGCTGTTCTGACGACTACTATAAATAATTGGTCTTTAAAGTAAAAAATCATGTAGTTTTTGTGGATATTATAAATTGTTTCAATTACACATTGTAACATTTTATGACAATCACTGCTAGATATCAATTACTAATAATCTAAAAAATGCCTCAACTCCACTTTGCTATATCCATATGTACTTTACTTTATAAAATTGTATACATTATGTTTAAGATAATTGTTTTATGAACATTGAAATTTCAGAGTCAAATTTAAGAGAGATTTTCTAAAAAGTTGTAGAAATTGCATAGAAACATAAAAGTATACCCTATAATTGAATTATGGACAGTAATCCAATTTATAATCAATTATCAACTGATAAATATCTATGTAGTATAATGATTTATTAAATAATTATGTGTACTTATAAATTATTTAAGTAAATGATGAACAAATATTTATATTTAATAAAATAAAAATAAAATTATTTATATAACATATTATTATTTAAAGGATTACCTACAGTGTATTAAACAGTATACTAAATATTGAAGTACACTTTAAGAGTTTTATTTTGATATAAGTTTAAATAGGCTGGGCATTCCGGAACATTCTCAAAAATTGAATTGATAAATTATTTTTGAAATTGTCTCTTTGAAACTTTTCTTGTATTCAAGTTTTTTTTTTAATTTTCTTAATTATATATATGTATACATATATTGAAATCTCATTAAGATCAGTGTTTTATAAAAAAAAGTTATAGCAGTTTTAAAATAAAAAAATTATTTTTTGAAAATGCAATTTTTTTACAGTAATATAATTTTGAGATATTTGTTTAAATTTTAAAATTGAGAAGGTTTTCCTATTTTTGGCGACGATAGAACCTTAATTGAACCAATTAAGTTAAAATCGAGTTTTTTTGTTTAATTCTCCAACAATAGTTGTCCAGAAAGAGCTAAGAATCTTAAGGACAGATATAAAAAAACCATACCATGGTAAAACTATTTTTAGCTCTCTATTGAAGCTAAAAAAAATTGATTGTTAATATGATTTTAATGTCATTTATGTTCATTAATTTTATTTACAATATAAATTGTTTATAATGACATTCAAGGAACTAATAAAAATTAGTTGTTATAACCAAAATGACAAAAAAATTGAAAACTATTATATATTTATGTGAACATAATATTTTATTATAATTAATGTATTATATTTTTACTAATAAATCGTAACTTCAATACATGTTGATAAATTTCATTTTTTCACTCTTTTACTATTTTGTCTCTAGCTTTCCATCTTTTACAAATTCTAATTCATTAGCTATATTGGAATTTTTTTCACAATTTTGTAAACAAAAATGTAATTTACTTTTTTTTCAATTGTAAATTACTTTTGTTTGCTCATTTTACAAAAATTTAATTCATAAACAAAACATACTGTTGGAGGATTCGCAGGGATAATGTACTTAACAACCATGTAGACTCTAGTTATTTTAGTTGGGGTGGTAACATGTATCATTGCACTGACCCAGTCATGACTTTGATTAGTTGGGACTGGTAATTAAGCCAAATTAATATAATTTGGTTGATGGTATGCTCAATGGGATTACAGGTCTGTGTACATTAGCAGTTCTTTTCTACCTCAATAACAACTAAAACTAAAATTAAACATAATTAATGGCATGACAATTGCAATTAAGTACACAAGCGACATTTTGAAACAATAAAGAAATTAGTGTTATCTGTTGTTAAAGTCATTATAAATAAAAAATGTTTCAATTGTAATAAAAATAACCGTCTTAACATCTTGATTGTCATTATAATTGAGACAGATTAGTATAAAATATGGAAGTTTTACAGGGACTTGCCATCTAAGGTCATTAAACTTGGTTGTTCATTATAAACGGTTTCTACTGTATATATCCTATAGTATATATTTATTAAGTATTTATCAATATTGTTTTTCAAACTCATTTGTGTATTTATTCATATGGTTTTAGTCGCACGTATTATATCTGGACTGGAAAAATAGATTTACCAACAAATCAACAAGTATTGTTTCGATATTTTATTGCTTATATTTTAGAGCCTGATGGTGAATATATAACACAAAGATCTATTTTAGTTCATTCATGGGAATCACATTATGAACCTAGAAGTGAATCTTCCTATGATGGTTAGTAAGTTAAGAGTTATTAGTTTAAAAAGTTGTTTCAAATCGTATAAAGTTAAAAATAACTTTTAATTGCATGATATTTTTATATTTAAATTTTGTATAGAATTTATGCTGGAAAACAACAGAAAAATAAGAAAATAAATCTATTTGTATAATTAAGTGTAACATTTAATTTATAATAATATTTGCACTTGTACAACTATATGGACAGCAATTTTTTTTTTAAAAATTTAAAAATATTCCCTAGAGTAATATCTTATAAATAGAACAAGGAAAAAAATGTTTTTCTGGTAAAATTACTTTTTTTTCCAACAAAAGTACTCCGTCATGAAATTATAAGAAAATTATTAGCAAAGTTCAGAAATTGTTTGCCTTTTGAACATGATTGTTTTAAAACTTCAACTGTTTTTGAGAAAAATGTTCTCTGAAGCTATTTACAATTTAAGGTTTAAAATTTTCACTAGATCTGCTTAAACACATTTCTGAGATAATATGAAAAAAGATTTTCAATTCGTTTAGTTATTATTAATGTGTGAGCTTTTTTTTTTGTCCACATGCAAACATTTTTTTAGAGTAAGATTTTCTATGTGTGTATTGCAATATTTTTTGTATATTTTATCAATTAATGTTTGATAGACATATAAATTTTAGTACAGTTATAAGTATGTAAATTTGTACATACATTATCATAACAGTGCAGTTTTATTAATAGTTTTATTTATTTTAGTAAAAACTGTCTTAAATATACAACCAATAAATACTCAATTCAAAATTTGTAAATATTTATTTATTATTTTTTTATTTAATTTTGTCATAATTATTTTTAGATGCAAATACAACTTATGATCTTTATGGGTCAAAAAATGGTAATAAGCATGTAAATAAAGGTTTTTTAACTAATGAATATGCTGTGCAGTTTAAATTATTTAAAGAACCTATTAAATTTTGGAAAACTAAATTTGAAAATAAGAAGGTATATATTAGATATCTAGATTACATAAAATAAAACTATTGTTTTCATTTTTGATGTTTCAAATTTTGTAGGATCTTATGTGTGTTAAAGTGACACCAATTAAGTTATCAAAGCGTCCATCTAAAACTGGTAAAGCAATATCCAATAACATTTTAATTGAAGAATTAAGTTCACAAGAACCCAATAATATATCTTTTGGATTTCCATTTGTTGAAGTTGCAGTAAGTTTAATTTAAATTTTTTAATAAAAGATAATTGTAAAAATTTAATTTTTATGTTCATGATTTGTATACAAGTTTACTATATTTCATTGTATATAGTGAAGAAATAAAAATATTATGTAATTTATAATTTTATTTAGTAAATATCAAATTTAAAATGAGTTGACATCATGTAACACATTGTTTATTTTATTAATAATTGCTTATTTTACAATTTATATACCTGGGAGACAGTATAGTCTAGATTAATATTTTTTATTATAAATAGTAAAAATTTTAAAATATCACTATGTTTGGATATTTTGAAATTATAGTAAAAGTTAAAAAAAAAATTGTAAAGTAAATAAATGTATGAAAATAACATTTAAATATCTGTTACAGCTTGCCCCTTACATTTTATCTAAACCTTATTTTTTCTTTATCATTTGTTGTAATTTAAATAGTAATATATTATTTACATTTATTAATATACATGTTTAAGAATCTTGATAAGATTTACATTTGTACAATTATATTCACCAATTATTGCTTGGTGATTAGTTAAGTAGTTGAAATTTATTCCCATTCTGAGTTAACACTTTGCTTTTATGATATTTGTGACTGCATAAGTTGCTATTTTTTCTCCAAATGTACTGTATTTTGCCTTAACACGTTAGATTTTGTAAAATATAATCAGCTTTATGACAATCTTTAATCTTCTTTTGTTTTGCGTTAAAAAAAAAGTGATAACCGTTGAGTGATAAAATTAAATATATATTTATAGCTATTTTAATAATATAAAAAGGCTATAATAACAACATAATAAATGATATTTTTCATTTACATATCTAATGATATGTAGTTATTATTAGATGTTTAAATCATTCAATATCATAGAAATATTTCATTCCTATGTTATATTTTACCTGTATTACAATTAGACCTGATTTCCTCTACTATTTATCTATTAATTTTTAAAGCTATGACAAAGTTCCACCAAATTATTTTTTTTATAATTTAGAATATACCTGGAGATTATAGTTTTCAATTACAAAGTCAATTTGGTAACCTTTTAATGCTCAATACTTTACATATATTTCAAACAAAGGTTCATAATTTTGGCTGTATGGTATGAAAATTTGAGTAATGATTATGATGATCTGAATTTATTTTATTTAGTTAATTTTTTTAGGGATATCTTTTTGATATTTTTATGAAAAAAGAAAGTTTAGAAGAGCCACCTTATCATGTTGGTTTCACTCATGTATTACCAAATAGCATGATAAACAGTAATGGTGTAATAACAGCTCCTATTACAAGCATACGCCATCAGCCAATTGGTGAACTTAAAAGTAATGATTGCCAAAAACATTAATTATTTTGAATTTTTTAAATTTGCTTACAAAGTGATTTAATCTGTTCTTTTGATCTACCAGATTGTATAAAAAGAGTTCACTGAGAATATTATTTGAAAATAAAATTTTTTTTACATTTCAGTGGTACATTATATTGATATTAAAATAAAATAATTTATTTGATATTATGTTATATCTTTTAAAAGAATATTTTATATAGAATTTATTTTTATTTTATGGTCAAATTTCAAGTTAAATAATCAAAATGTATTTCATTAATGTCTAATTTTCTAATTAGAAAGTCTTTGAGCTAAGTTTTCTAAAATTTTTGTTATACACAAAATATAAATGTTTGACTTTTTCATATGACACTTTTATGATAATTTTTCTTGCACATTGTTTAATAATTTATAATAATACTAAAGAAAAATAAATATTTTACTATATATAGTTCGAATTTTTTTACTATTTTTTGTTACTTTAATTAAATTAATAATATATTACTTGACAGATCCTACTTTAAAAGATGTAAATAATTTTTCTTAATTAAAATTTTTTTTTTTTTTAGTTGCATATTTAGTAATAAAGCCTTCTAGGGATATAACATGTACATTGGAAAAAAATAAAACCTTAGATTGGAAAAGTTCTTATGATCCATTAGATATTGGTCATAGGGGATCTGGCTCAACTTTTACCAAATTTGTATCAGAGTAAGTATAATATATATATACTATACTTATTATAACATATATGTAGTAATACATTTAATTTTTCATAAAAAAAAAAACGTTTCTTTTTCTTTGTTTTAATGTTTATAAATTATTTGTTTAATTTTTATCACAGGCAGTGTTTTTTAAATTTATTTTACTGTTAAAGGAAAAAATCATATTATAATTATAATTAAAAATATTTTTCAAGTATTTTATCAATTAGGGTAATGATGTGAACAAGGTACTATTCCAAAAAATTTTTTTTAGAAAACAGTAAATATGTATATATTTTTATAATCTGGCAAAAAAAATTATTAAAATTTTGTATAGTAAAAAATTCCATCCTGCATATGAGCCATTGTTTAGAATATTCTAATTTATGAGGTTATGATTGTTTTTGTTAAGTAGATAGAAAAATATTCATTTTTAATAGTTTGCACGCTTTAAGATATCTCCATCAAAGGCTTCTACAGTACGATAATATTAACAATAACAATATTAACTATAATCAGTAGACTTATGTTTATTATGTTCTATTACTATGTAGTTGTTATGATTTTATTTATATAAATATACACAATAGGGTGGTCATTATTTTACGAATTTCTAAATTTCTTTAAGAACATCTTTCCATTTTTTTATACTAAAAAAAAAAATGGAGGGATGTCCTTAAACAAATTTAGAAATTTGTAAAATAAGGACCACCCTAATACATGTATATTTATGTCATAGTACTTCAAACATTCGTGAAAATACAATTGCATCATTAAGAGAAGCAGGCAACAAAGGAGCAGATTTTGTTGAGTTTGATGTTCAACTTACTAAAGATTTAGTTCCTATAATATATCATGATTTTAAAGTGTCAATGGCAACTAGATCAAAAACAGATGTGTTAGCTGAAAATGTTGAAATGGTTGAAGTACCATTGAAACAATTTTCTTTTGAACAGTTGCAAAGATTAAAGGTATGTAAATATTATAAAAACATTTTTTCATTATTTTGTTTTATTTTACATTTTTAAGTTATTTTTACATTATATAGATTTATCATGTTAAGGAACCTTATAGCTTATCTGAAGGTCATTTTTTAAATGACTTACGAAATGATTATCAACCTTTTCCAAAACTTGAAACAGCATTGACTAATGTGGATATCAATGTTGGTTTTAATATTGAAGTAAAATGGACAATGGAGTTACAGGTAATAATAATATTTTGTAAAAAAAAAATCCAGTATAGTTGGGACAAGTGTATGAGATGAGATGATATATAATAGTTTTTATAATTGTGATTATTATAATTGTGGTTTTTATAATAGTATTTAACATCACTATTATAAAAAACCCTTTATTGAAAATCTATTAAATTTTGTGCTGTAAAAGTGTTTTTCAAACAAAAAAAAGGGATGTTTTTTTTTTGTCATCATAAAGTATTCTTAATAATTATTATTTGATATAGATTTCATTTTGTCAAACATCCCGGTATTAGGGTATAGGGTGAATTACCTTCTGGTGTGGGAGTAGGCCAGTTTGGTGCTCCTCAGAAAGGGTGACAAACCAAAGGGTCTTTCCTCGTCGTACCGACCACTGTGCATGTTGGACGATTTGGGGATGAAACTCGAGCGGTTGCTAGTCACCCGGATTGAGGGCTAGTTTGGCTTCAGGAGGAAGAGATTTACTGATGATGCGGCCTCCCTCTTCAGGTAAAGCAACCTCGTCTATGTGCGACCACTGTTCAGATTACCCAGAAGAGGCAGACAGTACTTTGTATATCTTCTTCAAGTGCAAGGCATGGACCCAGGATCTAGACTCTTTGGAGTACCAACTAGGGTCATTGCCTTGCACATACATATAAACAAATCCTAAGACCCTGGCCTAAACAGTGCCTCAAAGTCATGTTTTGGATCAGCTCTTGATTAATTTTGGGCTGATTCAAAACACAGTGGTGTGAGTTATATTGCGATGTTGGCCGAGTTGAAGTAATGCCTTACAGAAGTTCTAAGATGGCCAACAACAAGTAGACCATGAAAAAAAAGACATCTCGGTATATTATTAAAAGTTGAAAATAAAGTTATTATTTTAATTGCTGATTTCTTATAGTAGAATAATCATCAGATAAAATTTATTAAAAATATAGTTCATATCCAAAGCTTTTATTTGGCATAGGTTAAATGTTATCAGACCTCTAAAAAATTTTATTTTTCATGTGTTGGTGGTTTTTTTTTTAAAACTCTTACTGTACTTAAGTTTTCATTGGATTTTCATAAAAAACGCACAAAAAGAAATTTTAATGTATCCATTATTTTTATTAAAATTTGATTAAGGTTAGTGATTTAAAAAATAAGTTATAAAATACAGAAAAAAATGCCTTTTTTATACGGTAGCTTTATTTTAAAATATTTTTTTTGTCATTATAGGTTTAAAAATTTTAATTTTAAATTAAAATTGAGTTCTTTTAATACATAAAGCAACAATTTTGGTCCAGTGAAATTCGAAAATTTTCTTGAACAGACAAAGAAAAACTCATCATGGTTAAACCAATCCTTCTCAGCTTCATATTGAAGCCTATTTGTTAGATTTTATAGAAAATATGTTATAAAAAAATGTAACTTTCAGGGTACATTTACATCTATGTATGTTGTCTATAAATAACTGTTTATTAGCTTTGATTCTAAGCTAAGAAGGTATTAATTTTACCAAATTAAAGCTTATGTCATGTACTATAAAATGAAAAAAAAAATTTGTCCCGACACCTTATCTTCTATGTGCAAACGGCTGCTGTAGATAAAAAAATTCTATTTTTGTGTTAAAATTTTCGTTTTTTAATTTTAAATTTTCAACTTTAAATTGCTGTAACTTTTCAAAAAATGTGTTTATCAACACAATTTTTTCTTTCTAAATACATTATATATACTTCTTTCATTTGACATACTTTTTATTTAAATTGGACAATTTTCCCTTATACAGGGGCGTTCTAAAGTTGAATCATACGTATAAAAAGTAGAACTTTTTCTACTTAACTTTTGAAAATGTTCCTAAATACTGCGTTCTTTAAAGATATGTTAAATAAAATAACTAATAAAATACTGCGTTCTTTATTTCCGGAAATATTGACACTTATATTTAATCTTAAATTAAACCTTATATTACATACTTTATTATGGAAAAAAAAAACGAAATATAGATTTTATTTTTGGTGAAAATGCTATCTTACACTTTTATGATAATTATATAATTTAATTAAATTAGAATAAAGTTCATAAGACATATGAAGTTAAACTTATTTAATTTTTTTTGCTTTTTTAAAGTTGAAAAAGTAACTTTAAAATTTGAATTAGCTTAAATTGCTAATTTTATCAAACGACCGAAAGCAACGAACAATTGATGAATCATTAAAACTTGTCTTTCATGCTTAGGCTACGAGGTTCGAAGTCGCATATGGCAATTTATTTTCATATTTCTTTTTGAGTTAAAAAAAAAATGTTCAAATAATTTGATTTTCATCTCATTTAGATTCAATAACTTCAATAAATATCAAGGATACCATCATTGTAGTCTCTCCCGCGAGAAGAAATTTCTTATTCATGTTAATATTATTTTACTATGTGTTTTTTTTTGTGGCTGCAATTTATTTTTCCAGCCCTCACTTAACCTACTTTTTTCAACTAAACGTCAAATGATTACAATTCTTATTTAGTTGAAGATATTATCCTCAAAAATTGAAAAATAATCAAATAAAAAATAAAGCATAACCAGCTTTATTCATCCATTTATCCAAATAAAAATCATTAATTTCTAATATTTTTAAAGTATTTATTGTCGAATTAGGTTTGATGTAATAAAAGTATTTAATTACAATAGTAAATAATTTTATTTTGTAATTTATTAATATTAAATCATAAATCTAAAAAAAAAATATTTTTAGTTTCACACGAATTTAACAATGAATTTTTACAATTATAATCAAATTTTATAATACGCCCACAATTGAGTAGATTTTTTTAAAAACTTTTTGTTTGATTTTTTTAGTTAAAATAAATCATTCAAATTTATTCATTTCTGTATACTTCAATTGTAGAATCTTTTTAAATACCTAAAGTTAATTAAAAATGATTTTATGATTTCTATTTAAGTGATCTATTACGATACAAATGCCAAAAATTGAGCTTTTCTGATAAATTTACTGTAAATAGTAATTATAAAATTTCCTGACTGCATATTAATCTTAACAATACCATTTTTTTCTATTTAATGATGTCGATTTCAAACTTTTAATTGAGCTAAAAGTTATGGTAATAAATAAATTTTTTTTTTATTACAATCTTTCATTTCAAAGGACAAAAATAAGTAGGTTAAAAATGATTACTTTTAACATATTAAAAATCAAAATCAATAATAATTTGAAAACAATTAATTATAAAAATTTTTGAATCTAAGAATTACTAATTTGGATATAAATAAGGAAATTGGAGATCATGTAGCTTTTAGAATGATCCATTAATTGTTTAAAACATTATCTACAGATTTGCATCAAAGCGTTTTTTATGATAAAATCTATACTGGACCCAACTATGTCATGTCCCCACTGTGCTGGGTTTTTTCTGTTCTGCACTAACAAATATAAAATAATTTATTAGATTTGGAGGTAATTTGTTTCTACTTAATTATTTAAAAATTTCTTGAAGGTCTAACCCAAAAATTTTTTATTTATTTTTGACTTCATTATATAACTTTGAAGTATCAGTAAAAATAAGATAGTCTAAGAATTGCTGTTAGCTAATTATATATTTTTTAAGTTAAATAAACAGAGTTACTGGCTTTTAGAACTTTTTAATGATTTTTTTTTTAATTTTTGTAGAAACAAATTAATTATTGAATTAATAATAATTTTATTATTCAGGATGGAACATATGAACTTGATAATCCTTTTGATATGAATTTATTTGTTGATAAGATCTTGAAAACTACTTTTGATTTTGCTGGAATACGTAATATTGTATTTTCTTGTTTTCACCCAGATGTTTGTACAATGTAACTATAAAAAATTTTTTTTAAAAATGTGTAATGAAATATTAATTTATTTTATTCAAGGCTTAAAATGAAGCAAAATAAGTATCCTGTTCTTTTTTTAACTCAAGGTGTAACTAAAAGATGGCCTTCATATGAAGATATTCGTTGCCATACCGTACAAACAGCAGTTTACCATGCTGCTTGTCATGATTTGATGGTGAGTTAATTCATATTTTAATTTATGACTTTGATTTTTGGTAGTAAAAAAAAATGATTGATTGATAGCTGTTATAACCTATTTTTAAATACCATACCCATACCTTCACACAGTACACATCCCGAACCATATAAAATTATTCCAGTGCTTCTTTTTTTTAGTAGTATTTTTAGATGTTTAGAGACATAAATTTTCAAAACATTTGATATCTTTTGAATGTCCTAAGACACCGTAACAAATACTTTTCATAAGTTTTTCTATTAAAGAAAATATTCAGATATCCACTTGAGTCAATTTTAGGTTATAGGGGAGGGTTTTAAGAGCATTGTTTTTATTTTTGAGCCAAAAACTATCAGTTAAAAATAACTTAATAAATAGACTGATGGTTATAACAAAGATTCATGAGTTAACATTTGGATATTCTTAAGATACATTTCCTTATTCAACTTTGATTTTATAACGCACTCCTTGAGAAATTTGTTATAATTTTCCTTTTTTTTTTTAATCATTATTATTTTGATCTACTTTAAATATATTTACAGCACATAATATTACTCAAATTTTTTTTAAACATAGTAGATAGTTGATATAGTGTAAAACCATTAGGGTTTCTATACTCTGACATATTGAAGAGGATCTTTTTATGTATTATTCATTTCCATACAAATAAAAAATGCCCGTTATTTAATTGCTACATATTATGTACTCATATCTTTTATTCTTTTATGTTAAAATATAGAAAAACTGAATTAGATATTTTTTAGCAATCTTTAGTGGGGCATAGAATGTAAGTGCATTATATAAGATAACAGGTTGTTCGAAAAGTCTCGGGACTGACGCATAGATGACGACTTTAATAACTTATCCTTACAATTTTTAGTTAGTACCAACCTTTAAAAGAAATGTCAAAATTTCATGACATTTCAACAACCCATTCCAGTGTTTACAGTCTTTGTAGTGAAGCTACTTTTGTTATTTTGTAAACAATGGATAAAAATTATTTATAATTAATTAATAAAGGTTAAAATACTAAGGTTAAATTTTCTTTAAGCTTAATCACATCAAATTGTTTTATGATAGTGATTTTATTACTATGGGAAATCAATCTATAGTAGTCTCTTCTATATCTATTCCCACTGTACTGTACCCTGACTGTACTGATGTTTTGATATTGATAACATGATTTCATGATCAATGATCATGGCAATTTACCTAGTTCAGTGAGTAAAGCATCATGCCTCATTCCATAGGTATTAGTGTTCGATTATTTATATAGGTTATTGCAAATCCTTTGGTTTAAGAGATAATTTTAAGGAAGAACATTTAATGTTATTTTTATAAAAATTAATACAACATATTTCAGTTTTATTATTAATATTTAAGCTAATTTCTAATAATATGTTTTTAAATCTCATTTACTATAAAAAATAATTTTTAGTGTTAATTAATATTCAATTCTTTTGTTTAATAGGCTGCATTTTAGCTTATAAATAATGATTTATAAATCAATTTAACATGATTATATCTATTTTGATACATTATAGGGAGTCAATGTACATTCTGAAGATTTGTTACGAGATCTTTCTCAAATTAATATGGTTAAAGAAACTGGGTTATCATTATTTTGTTGGGGTGAGGACAATAATTGTAAAGATGTTGTAAACAAGTTAAAAAAACTTGGTGTAAATGCTATAATTTATGATAAGTATGTTTTAATTTTTAGGTTAAGATTTTTTTCTTATGATATGTACAATTTTTTTAGATTAGACAAGAGTGAAGAAAAGCAAAAATCCTTAGAAAATCCCACTATATTTATTACTGAAGATTGTTGTGATCAAAATATTGTGCTTATGAACCAAGAATTATTAACTGAAGACATGAATAGTGGTGACAGTCAAAATAAAGTAAATTTCAAACTTGTAGAACTATTAAAACCAATACAGTAAAACTCGGTTACACCAAGATTCAAGGAACAGTATATTTTGTTTTTTATAGTTGATAGGTTTTATATTGTTGTTGATACTGCAACAGTACATGTCTCAGTTTCTGCAGGTTTTCAGCAAAATAAAAAAAAATTTGAATGACATGTTTTAATACAAAAAATGATTTTATTTTAATGACATACAATGAATTTACGAGTCTTAAAAATATATATATATATATATATATATATATATATATATATATACAATAAAAAATGTCCAAAAACACTGATAAAAATTTCATTTTTTTAATTTTTGAGATACGCATTGTTACATTATAAATGACAATATGTTTAGAACAAGCACTCATAAACCTGGGGTTCTGCTAATTTTAAACAATATTTGCTTCTTCTATTCGTTACTTGTAACTATTTTCAATGTAATTAATATAGTCCTATTTTCAAAAAAAATATGCTGAAAGAAAAATAAAACTTTTCTATTATTACGAAAATATTTCACAAAAAAGTATAGCTATTTTAAGGTAATACTACTAAAAAAAATGCTGTTATTCAGAATTTTTTAAAAATATTAAGCAGGTTTATTTGAATATTGATGGTTATATCTTTAACTTATATACAAAATGATTAATTGTGAAACCCAGAGTGGGATTGCACCATATGGTGCAGGACTTCGCGTAGATTGACAAAAGAGAATTTCAACACATAAATATGAACAAAATCTTAAGACGCCAACCTAAACCAGCGCCTCAGGTCCTCCTGTACCAGGCGGCATGGCTGTCTTTGTCTCGAGCATTTTGCATCCTTCTTTTTTAAGACGGATTCGGCGAACGACTGGTCGAGTTTCCACGCCTTCTGGCTCCCTAACATCAGGTCCACTATGGGTATACCTAAACTGACCATTTTTTTTCAAACTTAAAACGGGACATACTGCTTATATTATAAATTTTGAAAATTAATTAATATATAGGTATACCAGTCGGAATGTTAACAATAAAAAGGAACAAAACTTTCTTATCTGTTTTATTTCGTGTTTACATTAGTTGAAATTACTTTTACATCAGTTTTATTGAAAGAACTATTCAGTGACAGTAATTATTATTAAACTATATTGAACAAACATATTTTTTTTAGTTACATTTAAATTTCTCAGAGGAACAAATTTGTTTCAATAAAGATGGTGATGATTTTAAATAAGAGTGAAATTCTTGACACGTTTTGTTTATATTAATTTTTGTTATCAACATCGCCTTCAGAACTGAAACTTGCAAGTGAATTTTTTCAGACGTCTACAATTTGTTCATTAAAGAAAATATTCTCTCTACTGGAACATTTGTACCATGAAGACATAAAATATATTCAATCAAAATACAAAAATGCTCGTGTTGTAGATTGTTGGCGCGGAAGTGATTGAATACTTCCACCCAACGAGTTTCTGTCTAAACTTTTAAATTATTTCATTCAATAATTTTTTCTAAAGTGACGTAGTTCAGAATTAGTGTAAATTCATTAAATATTTCTATATCTTTAATGCTTTCAATTTTTCCCTTTTCAATTAATAAATCTGATGCTTTTTGTACACCTTCCCATGTGGGTACTTTTTTTAAATCTGCCCAATAAAATAAATCCATTTCCTTAATGAGAAAGTGAGTCCATTGTTCCAAATACTCACTGCTTGTNGGTACTTTTTTTAAATCTGCCCAATAAAATAAATCCATTTCCTTAATGAGAAAGTGAGTCCATTGTTCCAAATACTCACTGCTTCGTTCATAAAATTCGGTTGCTCTTTTTTTCACGAAATCTTCGTCAATATTATAGCCATTATCTTTCAGTTTTGCGATCAAATTACGCACAGTAAATGGAAAAAACTGATTTCTTTGTTTCTGAATCAAATTCTCTTTGAGTTGAGTGATTCTTCAGCAACGTCAATTGCCAATATATTTTGACCTTCAACCTTCAGAACAGCTAGGTGAAAACTTGATGACTGAGCTTGTAAAAAGTAGAGCCATAATCTGAGGTAGGATCTCCAAAAAAGTCCTTGCTTGATTTGGGACATTTCTCAATGCTCAAAAAATAGTTCTTTAAAGGCTAGTACAAAGCTCTCTCCAAAGCGGGTATGAGCGAGAGTCAGCGAGTTTTGCTGTAGCCACGCATTTGCTGATATTCTATTTCAGCTTCAGCGCAAAATTCCTTCAGAGCTTCAACTCGAACCGTATAAATATAAAAAAAATGAATATATCTTCATAATTATGCTTTCGTAATCTAAAGGTAGACCGTCTGCAGCAGATTTTATTGTATTGTGAATAATATGGGCTATACCATATAGGGCTATACAATATACCAATCAATGGTTTTTTCAATGATAATTGTAATTTCGCTAAGACATTATTAATTCCTTGCCTAGTTGCTCCCCCAAAATTGACATTGGCATTATTGCTACAAAAAGCAACAAGTGATTCTCTGTCAATACTTGCTCTAAATAATTGACAATGATATCAGACAATTCACCTGGTTGGTCTTGGAGGTCTAAAATTTTTACTTGTATACCTTCGTAAGATTTAAAAAACGCACTACGAAGGGGTATATTTTTTTGTTGCCGTGGTTTGAGGCGTCGTTTAAAATTGTGACAAAGTTGGACTTACTGAAATCATCTTTTAATTGTTGGATCGCTGTACGCGCCAAAACATTTACCACAATAGCTTCTGTTTTTGTACGCGCGCATGCAAATTTCTTATCAAAGCAGGCTTGAATTAATTTCGACGCGCAATCATTTGATCGAAAACTGGTTTTCTTGCACAGTGTGATAAGCCCAGACACCTTCAGCCGCGGCAATATCCAAATCCTTTGAAGATTGTGCGTTTGAACTTTTGAAAAAGTTCAACATTGAAGAGCTGGAAGCAGCGGCACGATCAGCATTTTTATGTTTCTCGGACTTCAAATGTTGTGCAATGTCACTAGCACCACTATGGGAAACACTAAACTCAGTACGGCACTTTTCGCATTTGACATCCGAAGAAATTTTATTTTGCTTAACGAATGGATACTTTGCTTGTAGATTCACATTGAATGAACACTTGCGTTTTGGCATATTTACTACGCTCGTTACCTAGGTAACCGATAGCGTGCGCAGCGGGAATTACCCACCAGGTGACCGACAATGGCCTCCTATTTAAAATTTCGAGCGGTTTTAGAAAACGGGACTTTTTAGCGTCTCCGATGAATGTTCGGGGACAACAGGACCGGCGATCGAATAAAGGAATAGTCGCGTTCAAAACGGGACGTTTGGTCACTTTAGGTATACCCAACCAAACATAATATGATAATATTCTAGAACATGTTGACTGAGTCGTTTTATATTAATATAATATTAGTAATATTTAAAAAGTTTACATCCTTTTATTGGCGCTTATATACTATTTTTGCAAATATAGGTAAATAACCTTAACTATACACCTTATTAATGGAATATTTTCATATTAAAGTTATAAACTTAACTACGATCTACTTGTATAATACTCATCAGGAAATAAGGAATGAAACTAATATTTATGGTTTATACTTCAGCACTTTTATTTTGTCTTGTATTTAATAATTAAATAGTACTTAAATTTACAAATAAATAAGTAAACTAACACATGGGATCACATAACGTTTTTTAGCTTCGATGCGAAGTTGAAATTAATTGCGTATTAATTTTCGATGTGTGGGTGTGTATTGTATTCTATGACTGTCGCCACTTTTTATCAGCTCTCACCGGATTGATTTCTTTCAACGATACGCCAAAAGATCACAAATCGTATCTAGTTGAAGACATTGTTATTAAAAATTGGAAAAAAATTTTTTATAGTTTTATAATGGCTTTGGTAAGAATTTCAAAATTACTTTTTATATAAGCCAAACCTGGTTTCACTATATATTAAGTTAAATAATTTGATACTGTCTGCGTCGTTTTCATTTAGAAAGCTTACAACGTGACGAATTTCTTTAAAATTTTCTCAATAATAAATTGCAGCCTGTTCAAAACAACAGGCGTTATCTCCGCATCAGTCGAAATTGATAGCGTGTGCCGGTTGAACGCAGAAATTGTGGTGGTAGTGCAATAATGATCTATGAAAGTTGTATGCCGCTGCCTTTGACAAATCTGGGTGAAATTGTTTTTTTTTTCGTTTTCAACAGTCTGTCGTCTGATTAGCTATAGTCGATATATGCTAGTGTTTTTTGCATTATAATACGGTTTTTTGTTGCCGTTACGTAATCGTCGCACCCGTTCTAATTTGCCATATCACTGTTTTCTGGCTTTTAACATTGAGAAGCTTGAACTTTAGTTTATTCCGTTATTATTGGACCTTATATAGACGTTGAAATGTGTCCAGTGAAGTCAGTCAAATCTGTGTATTGAGCGAGTTGGACCATATTACATTACTGTATGTATATCTGTTTGTTGTTTTATTGTTAAATATTGTTTCGGTCTCAAAGTGAATTGTACAATACGTTTAATTTTGATTATTTACATAATAAGAACGAGATAAAACTTAAGACTTTTAACTTAATTTATAATACTTTATTTTCATATACACATGTTGGCGTGCGCGTCGTGCCGTCCTTTACGATGACGAGTTCATCGTTCGACTACTATTAATACAATAACAGAAATCGGTACGCACCAGGTAAACGCTCTTATCTCAAACAATAATAACATACAAAAGAAAATGGATCGAACGCCGGGCACTTTAAAATATTAAAAAAAAATTCAACATATCATATATATATATATTTATATTAAAATAAAAAATAATAGATAAATAGAATCAAAACCCCCAAAAAAAATTTAAATAAGTAAATAATAATAATTTCTATTACATATAATTCTAAACATTTTTACTGTAAGATTTTGGACTGGGGTGAATAATTTCCTTCAAAGGGTAGAGGACATAACTGCCTAACTGCCCGTTCGTATTCGCCATC